TGAAGGAACCAGCAGGAGGAGAAGAACAGCCACTGAAGGAACTAGCAGGAGGAGAAGAACAGCCACGGAAGGAAACAGCAGGAGGAGAAGAACAGTCGCCAGGGGGACCAGCAGGAGGAGAAAAAGAACAGAAAAGTTGGTTTGAAAAAGGTAAAAACACAAAAGTACAGATTTATGTTCTCTGAAGCACGTCTATGAGTACTTTTGATACCCCATCCACAGTGATTCCTTATACAAGTAATTTGACATGCAGTGTGGAATGTCTTTATCATTAATATAGTCTCTGCATAGGAAGAGATATACTGCTGTCCAGAATAGTTTTCCATGATTTTTTAATGACTGTGTTTTGATTAACAGAATATATTTCACAGTATTTATTTTACAAAAGTAAAGCAATGGATCATTTTGGGGATAAAAATCGGCTCTTTACATTTCAAAAGCTAAATAAGTATTATATTTGAATTAATACCAGTACACTACCAAATTCTGATTCGATCAAAAATAGTTTTTGCAATACTATGTTGTGGCTACTGCCTCCCATATGAGGCAAAGCCACACCTTTTATCGAGATGAATGAGTGAGTTGACTGAGTGAGTGATGGTAACAATAAAATATAGGTGTGATTGGCGCACCATGAAGACTTAGAGGAATTTTTTCTTTGAAGGGAGAGCATTTTAACTTTGATATCAGCGAATTATGCTCTGTAGTTCCGAGGATCACTTTTTCAGTTCTTGCCGTGACACTACATATCTTATTTGACGTTTCGTAGAGTAGTATCGCTGAGTATTTTTACGAATTGTGCCGCATTTTGACGAGCCCGAAGGGCGATTCAAAATACAAACAACGGGTGAAAATGCTCAGCGATACTACACACCAAACTTCTAATCAGAGATTTATTATCCAACACGTCAAATTGTTATTTCAGTGCGGGCGAATTTAGTGAATATTTCTGGAATACAAATATCGCGTGATATTTGTACTCGTTTCGCGCATTATTTGTACTCTACAAAACACAGTTGGATATTAAAAAGATTTATTTTCTCCTCTGTTTTGCATGTGAATGCAAGTCTTAGACTGCCTATTTTCTTGTTCAGGGGTTTGGCTTGAGTTCTGATCTTTGAGGAGTTTATTCTCGACCGAAAAAGAAAAGATTATCTGATATGTTTGTGTTCTTTTCTTACTTTTTGAGATAAATGGTCTACACTGAAAACATTGCTCAAAAGCGCTACTTTGAAGTTAAAAAATTATTTGAAAAACCTACAAAGCGTTAAAATACAAATCCCCAACACTTTAGTTGAATATATGCAAATCACGTTCCGATCAAAAATAAGGCTGGAAGGATTAAAATGAGTCGCTAAATAAAGTTATCTTGTAAAACGTCTCGGCGTGAAAGAATAAGCTCCCTGGTCAAAAATTTAGAAATGAATTAAATATCTGAAATCAGTGTTTGTTAACTTTTACAGAGATAGCGCGAATAGTTTTTACCCTATTGTAATTTGAATGAAAACGCTCAAGTAATCGTTCACCAGTTGCGTAAAAATTTAGTTTATGTTCGACCAACTTTTTTATTCGTGAAATATTCCACAAAAAGAAATTATAGTTTTAACCCACCTAAAGAACATCAGAAAAAAATCAATATGAATATCCCGTAAGTACGTAGCATAGTAACCTGTCATTAATCCTTCATTTACACAACATTCCTTAGGTGATCATACGTCAGCCCTTCAGTCTAAACTGCAAGCCCTTGACATGAGAAGAAAGGTGCTTGGCGAGGAACACTCAGACACAGCTAAAAGCTACAATTCCGTAGGGATCACACAGCGTTCCTTGGGTGATATTACATCAGCCCTTCATTCTTCACAGCGAGTCCTCGACATAATAAGAACGTTGTTTGGCGAGGAACACTCAGACACAGCTCAAAGCTACGATTCCGTAGGGATCACACAGCATTCTTTAGGTGATCTTACATCAGCCCTTCATTCTTCACAGCGAGCCCTTGACATAAGAAGAAAGTTGTTTGGCGAGGAACACTCAGACACAGCTCAAAGCTACCATTCCGTAGGGCTCACACAGCATTCCTTAGGTGATCTTACATCAGCCCTTCATTGAAAACAGCGAGCCCTTGACATAAGAAGAAAGTTGTTTGGCGAGGAACACTCAGACACAGCTCAAAGCTACGATTCCGTAGGGATCACACAGCATTCTTTAGGTGATCTTACATCAGCCCTTCATTCTTCACAGCGAGCCCTTGATATAAGAAGAAAGTTGTTTGGCGAGGAACACTCAGACACATCGAAAAGCTACCATTCCGTAGGGGTTACACAGCATTCCTTGGGTGATCTTACATCAGCCCTTTATTCTAAACAGCGAGCCCTCGACATAAGAAGAAAGTTGTTTCACGAGGAACACTCAGACACAGCTAAAAGCTACAATTCCGTAGGGATCACACAGCGTTCCTTACGTGATATTACATCAGCCCTTCAGTCTTCACAGCGAGCCCTCGACATAAGAAGAAAGTTGTTTGGCGAGCAACACTCAAACACAGCTCAAAGCTACGATTCCGTAGGGATCACACACCATTCTTTAGGTGATCTTACATCAGCCCTTCATTCTTTACAGCGAGCCCTTGACATAAGAAGAAAGTTGTTTGGCGAGGAACACTCAGACACAGCTCAAAGCTACCATTCCGTAGGGGTCACACAGCATTCCTTAGGTGATCTTACATCAGCCCTTTATTCTAAACAGCGAGCTCTCAACATAAGAAGAAAGTTGTTTGGCGAGGAACACTCAAACACAGCTCAAAGCTACGATTCCATAGGGATCACACAGCATTCTTTAGGTGATCTTACATCAGCCCTTCATTCTTTACAGCGAGCCCTTGACATAAGAAGAAAGTTGTTTGGCGAGGATCACTCAGACACAGCTCAAAGCTACGATTCTATAGGAGTCACACAGCATTCCTTAGGTGATCTTACATCAGCCCTTCATTCTAAACAGCAAGCCCTTGACATAAAAAGAAAGTTGTTTGGCGAGGAACACTCAGACACAGCTGAAAGCTACGATTCCTTGGGGGCCACACAGCATTCCTTAGGTGATCTTACATTAGCCCTTCATTCTTCACAGCGAGCCCTTGACATAAGAAGAAAGTTGTTTGGCGAGGAACACTCAGACACAGCTCAGAGCTACGATTCCGTAGGGGCCACACATCATTCCTTAGGTGATCTTACATCAGCCCTTCATTCTAAACAGCGTGCCCTTGACATAAGAAGAAAGTTGTTTGGCGAGGAACACTCAGACACAGCTCAGAGCTACGATTCCGTAGGGGCCACACAGCATTCCTTAGGTGAACTTACATCAGCCCTTCATTCTTCACAGCGAGCCCTTGACATCAGAAGAAAGTTGTTTCGTGAGGAACACTCAGACACAGCTCAAAGCTACCACTCCGTAGGGATCACACAGCATTCCTTAGGTAATATTACATCAGCTCTTCATTCTTCACAGCAAGCCCTTGACATAAGAAGAAAGTTGTTTGGCGAGGAACACTCAGACACAGCTCAAAGCTACGATTTCGTAGGGATCACACAGCATTCTTTAGGTGATCTTACATCAGCCCTTCATTCTTCACAGCGAGCCCTTGCCATAAGAAGAAAGTTGTTTGGCGAGGAACACTCAGACACAGCTCAAAGCTACGATTCCGTAGGGGCCACACAGCATTCCTTAGGTGATCTTACATCAGCCCTTCATTCTAAACAGCGAGCCCTTGACATAAGAAGAAAGTTGTTTGACGAGGAACACTCAGACACAGCTCAAAGCTACGATTTCGTAGGGATCACACAGCATTCCTTAGGAGATCTTACATCAGCCCTTCATTCTTCACACCGAGCCCTTGACATAAGAATAAAGTTGTTTGGCGAGGAACACTCAGACACAGCTCAAAGCTAC